GCCCAGGAGTTGGAGGTTGCTATGAGCTGTGATGCCATGGCACTCTACCCAGGGGGATAGCTTGAGGCTCCGTCTCAAAAAAAAAAAAAAATTTTATCAGTAGTTTTTAAAATAATTATATTTGACCTATTCTTTGTTTTTGATGATTCAGCATTCAGTCTTCATTACCTTCATTTTATATACTTGGGGAAAATATTTCAGTTACATGAAAAAAATGGTCTATGTCAGACATCAATATAATACCAACAACATCAATGTAAAGTGTTAATTTTCTGTATTACTCTTCTAAAAGGTTGATTACAGCATAATGTTTAAAAAAATTGGATCAGGCGGTGCCTGTGGGTGGTGGGTTCAAACCCAGCCCCGGCCAAACTGCAACAAAAAAATAGCTAGGTGTTGCGGCGGGCACCTGTAGTCCCAGATACTTGGGAGGCTGAGGCAAGAGAATCACCTAAGCCCAGGAGTTGGAGGTTGCTGTAAGCTGTGACGTCACAGCACTCTACCAAGGGTGACAAAGTGAGACTCTGTCTTTAAAAAAAAAATTGGATCATTTTAGCATTATTAAATACATTGGCCTTGAAAATTTAAAACATTTATTGTTGTATTTAAAACAACTGCATTCTTAATATATTTGACATTTCTGCTGAGGGAAATGTTATTGTAGGAGTTTATCAAGAAATACTACTATTCGAGTAATAGAGAGTGTCAACATCCAATTTTAGTGAAAAACATTGGTGCTTTCCTTCCTATTTTATGATGCTTAAGGTGACTTAATGTTGTTGATTTGACTTCAAAGAAGTCATAATCCTTAACTAGGAGTTATGTTTGAAAAAGTCTAATTTTTGTCTAGTTATTTCTTGTATCTTGATTTCTTATATCATTTAGTGTTGATGGGTCATTGCATTTGTACTGAATGTTAGTTGCTACTAATTTTATTTACTATAACAGTTCAACTCTGGGAATAGTTTTTTGAATTTACTACTTTTAGATATAACCATTTTACCTCACTTTATGTCTAATCCTGATTCTTTTGGAGGTTAACCTATATTTTTGTACTTTCATAGGATAGAGAAAGGAATCAGCACCTTGGAAATTCAGCCAAGTGATCTGCCAGGATGGGCATTTGCCAGACATATTTTATAGAGGTAATTCAACATTGTTTTACTCAAAGTTTATTTTTTTACAGTGTGATAGATGCCCATGTGCTTATACATGGACATGTGTGCTCACAACTGTTGCGTAGTACAAATACTGGACAATCTGTTTTCCTTATAACTGCTTATAGGTAGCATGAATATTACATATAAATAACATAATATCACTGTATGTAGATATGGGCATCTATACATTGAAAATACCTAACATTCTCAATTTCATAGGGTAAAGTCCATAATTATCTGTCACTTAACTTGATTGCTTGCATTATCTCTGTTAGGTTGCAGTTCCCTTATGTTAAGAAGACAGGTGATCCTCTCCTTTCTTGTTGGTCTTTGTTGGTACATTTATTAAACCTGAAATTTTGTCTTCCAAACATGGAAAAAAATATATAGAATAGTTTTCAAGGAATTTACATATCTGTTAGTGGGCACACACTCTCATGTCAGTTATTAATGATCATAAAAATTCTAAAGTTTGGGCTGGGAGAGGTGGTAGCTTAGAACTATGGGAGCTGAAGCAGAAAAATCGCTTGCGCTCCGAAGTTTGATGCCAGCCTGAGAAAGAGTGAGATCCCTATCTGCACTAAAAACAGAAAAACTAGCCGGGTGTGGTGGCACATGCCTGTGGTCCTAGCTACTCCAGAGGCTGAAGCAAGAGGAACTTCAAAATTTGAAGTTGCTGTGAGCTATGATGATGTCAGGGAATTCTTCCCGGGTCAGCAGAGTGAGATTGTCTCAAAAAAATTCTGAAGTTTCTCTGTGAATTTTTTATTTGTTTTGGTAACTTTTAATTATTATTGTTATTATTTTTTTGTAGTTTTTGGCCAGGGCTGGGTTTGAATCTGCCATCCAGCATATGGGGCCAGTACCCTACTCCTGTGAGCCACAGACACTGCCCTAAAAACTTTTCATTTTTGTGGCCATATTTTAGAATTTCTTTCTTTCATATCTTCTAATGTGTTCAGCATTTTTCACTCCTTTACCCAGGTTCAGTATAAAAGGAATATACATCAGAGCAGTGGACAATGTTATAATATTATCCAAAAATGGTTTTCCTTATCTTATTTACTTAGCATCGTATATCCTTCCAGACATTTTCTATACATATACAAGCATTTATTTATTTTTTTTAAATCTTTTTTTTTAAAATTAATTAATTTTTTTTTTTTTTTTTTTTTGCAGTTTTGGCCAGGGCCAGGCTTGAACCCGCCACCCCTGGTATATGGGGCCAGCGCCCTACTCCTTGAGCCACTGGCGCCACCCCATATACCAGCATTTAGATGTGTACTTACATGTTCTTTACACAAATGAAATCACACCATACATACTATTCAGCAACATGTTTCTGTGTAAAAACTTTCATATCTTTGTGTATCATTCCCTCTCATTTCATTCTGTATAGTATTCTAGTATTTGTATGTACAATAATTATTTTAACTAGTCACCTATTTAGTTTTTTTTGCTATTATAGAAGGTAATGTGAATATTCTTGGGTTCATCTTTGCACATACATGCAGTATAAATTCCTAAGGGGAAAAATATTGGGCCATAGTTTGCACATTTAATAGTTCAGTGAGTAAAGTGCCTAACTTTTAAAAAGAATGTCCAATATCAGTAGTCTGTGTGAGAGAGAATCTCTTAACCCTAGCTAGTGTCGAACTTTTTAATGTTTGTCTGTTTTTGCTTTACTTTACTTTTATTATGGTTGAGTTTGAGCATTTTTCTCATTATTACTGACCAAATATGTATTTCCAGTGATCTATTTGGTCATGTGTTTTGCCCTTTTATGGGGCTTTTTGTATATTTGTATAGTAAAGAAAAGAACTCTGTCATTTTTTCTTTTTGTTTGTTTGTTTGTTTTACATTTTTAGTTGACAAATAATTTTCTGTTCTCACTCTACCTTCTGGCTTTTTGGTACTTCAGAAATGTTGGTAAATTGGATGTTTCTTCATATGCCTTGTGAGTCTCTGTTCATTGTCAATCGTTTTTCACTTGTTCTTCAGATTGGATAATTTCTGTTGATGTATCTTTATGGTCAATGATTTTCTTCTGCCATCTTGAATCTCCTGTTGTGCCCTTATGATAAATGTTTTGTTACAGTATCATTTCAATTTTAGAATTTGCATTTGGCCCTTTCACATATTTTTTCTTTATTGAGAAACTGTTATTTGTTGATTTCATAATTAAAAAGATTTAAAATATAGGTTCCATTTAACATATTTTATTTTGGACTAAAGTTTCTTTGTAAGAATAAATGCCTGAATATCCAGGAAAACTCTGAAATGGAAGGGTACTGACAGGTCAGTAGCTCTAATCGCAAATTGAACTTTTAGACTCTTGGTAAAGTGCTATGGCATCACAGCTCACAGCAACCTCAAACTCTTGGGCTTAAGGGATTCTCCTGCCTTAGCCTCCCAGGTAGCTAGGAATACAGGTGCCTGCCACAACCAACGCCCAGCTATTTTTTGGTTGTAATTGTCATTGTTGTTTGTTAGGCCCGGACTGGGTTTGAACCCACCAGCTCTGGTGTATGTGGCTGGCGCCCTAGCTGCTGAGCTATAGGTGCCAAGCCAAAGATTTTATTTTTCCCCCTCAAGATAGAGTCTCACTATGTCGCCCTTGGTACGTAGAGTGCTGTGGTAGAGTGCTGTAGTGTCATAGCTCACAGCAACCTCAAAATCTTGGGCTTAAGCGATTCTCTTGCCTCAGCCTCCCAAGTAGCTGGGACTGCAGGCACCCACCACAATGTCTGGCTATTTTTTTGTTGCAGTTGTTTAGTTGGCCCGGGTGGGTTCAAACCCACTACCCTTGGTGTATGTGGCTAGTGCCGTAACCACTGTGCTATGGGTGCTGAGCCTTGTTTTTTTTCTTTTCTAACTTTTTAGGTTTGTATTCTTTTTTTTTTTTTTTT